AAGTCATGTCAATAGTTATGCCAGTGATTTAAAAAGGTGTAGTTCATTTTCCTTGTTTAAAAACATGTTTAAAAATAGAGTATTAGAAAAATATATATATCAAGAATGAAAAGAGCAAAAAAACCCCAAAAAAACTCTTGATTCTTTTGCTTTGATGTAGTTACTTATCTAAGTTGGAAAGTTTTGTTTTGTTTTTTTGCTTGCTTGTTTGTTTGTTTTGTTTTTGCTTTGTTTTGTGTACAGGAGCTTCATGCAAAAAGATCTTTTGTTAAAAGGGTTGGCGTAATAAGCAAATGCTTCAGCCAATACCTTTTGATTAGCCTTGTCTCATGCTTTCTTGCATTGTGGTAATCTTTATTCTGTCTTCACTGAGATATTTGAATACTAATCAATAAAATCAAAATCAAATCAAATCAAGTCAGTGATCTTAGGCAGACATGGGCAAGGTAACCTGAGTGTTTCAAAAACTGGAGGCCTGCTGGATTTTCCTGCTACCTAACCAACCAACCTCTTAGGTTTACAGAGAATAGTCTGAACAAAATAACATTGTGTTGATGTCTGAGGGTTAGAGGAGAATGGCTCAGCTGCTTCACATTATGAAAGGAAGGTAACAGTAATTCAAATAACCAGTCATTGCAACCAAGGTATGCAGAAGAGCGTCTCTGAATGCACAATATGTGGAACCTTGAAGCCGATGGGCTTCACTAACAGAAGGCCACACTTTGTATGACTCCTTACAGCTAAGAACACAAAACTGAGGCTGAAAGGGAATGAAGATTAGACAGTGGGTGATTGGAAAAAAAACGTTCGCGATTTCTACCACGGCATACAGAACTGGAACCACATAAAATGTGTTGTTGATGGTATAATGGGGGGATATTTTCTTGGCATACCTAGGACCTGTTCACCTTTGTTTAAATACCACAACCTACCCCTGTATGACTACAGTATACCCATCTTCTGATGGCTACTTCCAGCAGGATCGCACACCATGTAACAGGGTTCAGATCATATCAAACTGGTTTTCACTCTCTGTACTCAAGTACTCCACAGTCACCAGATCTCAATCCAATTAATCCAAATCTGAGAACAACTTGGGGGTCCAACCTGGTAGTAGCAAGGCATGCCTAATTAAATGCCCAGCGAGTACTGATTAAAAGCAAGTGCAACAATGGTAGGGTGAATAAAAAGCAAATGACGACTAACATACAAAGTCTGTGACTTAAACAAAAAGAAAAAATAGAAACGGATAAAAACTTCATCTGTTGTTTAATGTCAAGCACACCAGCTGCTCCTAAGCTGTGAAAAGGCATCCTTTAAAGATATATCTTCTTTTGTTTTTCTCAAGTTTATCTCGCAAACCACTCTTTTCTCCGCACAACACTGAGTATCAGCATGGTGTTCTTTGATTTGATAATCACCTCCTGTCCTACGCCAACACTCTCCCTCCTCAGGAAACATAAGAAGTTGGTTTAAAAGAGTCAGGGTTTTTAGTGAGTAACAAAGGGTATAATTTGGTGCACCAGGTTGGGCCCATGTGAGCTAATCAGCCTCCTTGCAGAAGGTTTTACAAACACAAATCCCTAAATTTGACTGTTTGCAGTGAAGAAATGATTATTTGCACTGATTCCCCCCCCCCCACCAACCTCCTTCTGAGTTTAGTATTATTGCTTTTTCGATGCTCATTATTTGAATTTGTGCTTGCAAAAGTGTTTCTCTTGTCTCTGTGTTAGAAGACTTTTTTGCTAATAATAGATGGATGCTGGGGGTCTGTGTTTGCATAAAATCTGTGTGAGACTTATGTTTCTGTTTAGGTTATATAAGGAACTAATTGGTTTGTTATGGAGTGGGCGTGTGAGTGTGCTGTTACAAAGTGTTTCTTCTTGTATACTGGATCATTACACTTAAGCTTATGCAGTATATGAGCCTGTGTCTGCTTTATTTGGTTCATTACAACATGTGGGAGGATTGTTGGCGACGATGTGAAGCTCAGCTCAGCTCAGCTTGGAAAGACTTCCGCTCCACCGTGCACTGGCTCAATCTCAATGCTTAACCATCAAACGGATGCATCTGGATGAGCCGTTTATTTGTGATTGACTTGAAGCTAAAAGATGGCTCGTCTGTATTAAGGGGAAAAGCGTATCAATCGTAGGCGCGTTTTGATCAGAGCAGCAGAAAATCAATAATTGTCAGATTGTGTTTCTTGTCAGTTTGAAGTGGTTCAAAAGGTGAATTAAGAGGATTTGAGTTACATACTCACAAGTTCACAAAGGCAAAAATTACACGGCGAAAACATTTTTGAAGGGACTTATTTGATCTTTAGTCTCTTCACTTCACAGTGGCTCAGTTTATGACTGTCACTAGATTAAATGTAATCGAATGTAGAATAAAGTGCCACACAAGCATGCATAAAGTCTGGGGACCACCAAACATTATAATAATTATACAAATATTCATTAACCTTCCACATCGCTTGCATAAAACAGTAAATAGTGTTTTGAATGAGACCTTGTGCTTCCTCTTTTCCTCTCTGAAATCCACAAAAACATTTAGAAAGCTTTCTGCAAAAGCAGTTCATTTTTCTGTATTTATTTCCTTCAGTTTATGCTACTCATTAATTTGGAAAAGTGTCCATGGAGGTGGCCAGGGAGTCAGGAGCAGAAAATGTCTCAGTGAAGACATCAGGGAAAATGATAGGCTTTGGTGTCAGTGAGTCTGACCTGATACACTTCACTGTTTCATCCGGCGATCGTACATGGCAGAGCGAGCGAGCAAACTGTAGGTACCAATTTTATCAGCTGCAGCTTTGGTAGACTAAAATAAAGTGCAGCTAGAGGAGGTGTTGTGGATAGAGAGAGAGGCTTATATCTACAAATTGTAGGAAATGACTAAGTAGAGTACAGGCAGAAGAGCTAAGCTGAGGAAATGCAAGGACACACAAAAGTAAATTACTACTTTCATCACAAACTAACTTCTGGAATCTGCTGAACACCACAAATTTAATGGTATACAACCTTGCAGGAAGATCTAAGGGTAGATTTTTTTCCTTCACTACTGTGTCCAAACAACAAACACTCTGACCTCAGCCAGATGTAAAACAAATGAAATTTTGTTGTTCTTTCTTTTCTTTTCCCCCCTTTCTTTTGGTGCGCTTGCCTTCCTGTCTCCAAAAGCTGCTTTTGAGCAAAACCAATTTTGGAAAGAGGTGCTTTGTTAGAAATGGACATTGAGTGAAATGGATTGATGCAAATTTACTGACAGGCTTCGTTGTCTTTGTTGCTGTGTGGGTGTTCGTCTTTGTTTCTTTGTCTTCAGAGGCGGGTTTGAACAGGATGTGGAGAACGGCTACCATCAGCACCCCGATACCTGCCACGGTGAGATGGAACAAACCCATTTATTCGTAGGAATTTACATGATCAATAAAGGCAGATTTTGAAACTACTGATTGTTGTCAGATCTCGATGGCAGCTGGCACAACTGATTGCGGTTTGAACAAATTAAAATGGAGCATTACGGTGTTTTATTTTAGCTGCGGCTGCAGTTTAGTTCATGTTGAAGGAGCTTGAAAAGTAGTTTGTCCACCTCCGTTCACCATCCCTGCTGGAATACTGTTCTCAATCTTTCTATGCTAATTAAACATTTGCTCAAAGAAGCATGTTTTTGCATGTAAGACAAAGTGAATTGTTTACAGCTCTTTTACATGTGTCTGGGATGTGATGAGAACCACTAACAGGACAAATTCAGCAATCATTGCCTCCCATCAGAACGTAATGAAATGTTGTCCAGAAAACGCAAATCTTAACAAATAATATCACACTGATGTTGTTTTGCATGTCTTTTCTCCAGATGTCTTGGCAACCACTCGCAAGCAGAACACAGCACTGGATTCAGCGTATGGTCAGTGGACACATTTATTTATTTATACGTATATTTATTTGCATT